ACACGATTGTTGAGAGCTGTCGTTCTTTTCAAAGTAATTGACAATGATGAAGACAACTGTGAAACAGGGAAACTCCTATGTTTCGTAGTCACAAGATGCTCCATGCATATAACTTGAAATGAGAAAAAAACAAAATTCCAAAAGGAATGAAACCAACCACAAGAGATATTATGCACACTTAACTTCAATCTTCATTTGTTGTCTCCTCTCCTTTAGCCATCTTCTCCTTATGCCATTTACAGAATCCTTCCACCAATGCATCCTTCATCCACGCATGCCTGCAACTCTCTACAGCTTCTTCAATTGTCAGCCATGTCCGTGTTCTCGTCTCTTGTTCAGGCCACGTCTTTAGTTCTTCCTTAACATACAATGCATACATTGCTGCTTTACATAAACCTTCAGGGCTAAACTCATCTTGGTGTGTTTTGCTCTTGAACTCATAATCTCCCAAAAAATCCTGCAAATTTTTCATTCTTTCAGTACCAGCTGCTAACAATAACAAAGGTGCTACCTACACGGTGTGCGAAAGAGTTTTACCATTAAAACTCCACGCACTCCTGCTTCTTCCACTGCTTCCCTTACTGCAGCTTCCCTGACTGTCTCATCATTCTCCCATCCTCCCTATATACGAATGAAATATGTTACTTCGTTTCCAAAACGAACGGAAAGCAAAAGACGAAACAGCATTTGGTTTGTACCTTGGGAAACAAAAGTCCCGGTCCACTAGATGAGCTGATCATCAACACTTGAACAATTTTCCCAGAGTCAGACTTACCATTTCCTTCAGAGTTTATATACCTAAACGGAATACACCTACAAATGTCCAACATTGGAATTGTTAAAACACATAGTATTAAAGACAACTAAAGACTCAGGTTATGTCATCAACCAACCAAGATCAGATAAAAAGACCAATACAATCACAACACTACAAAATCCTCTTGCTCAGGACTAGCATATCCAAAAACCAAAATGTAATGTTAAAATCAAAGCATGAATCTGATACAGCTACAAAGAATCTCCAATCGATATTAACACAACCAGAGCCAAGACTATCAAAACAACCATTCCAACATCTATACGCATCATGATCAATTACCCATACAATCATTGAACATCCATGGTTAGAACAACAGAGAAAAGAATCACATTGCAAAACAGATCATGAACTCCAAAGAGACAAAACATATGCAAATGTAAGGATCAAAAAACACAGTACCCAGCTACGAGACGTGAGCCATCCTCGTACCGCTGCTGGAGCCGACCCGTACGCGCGACCAAATCACACATCACTCCAAAATCACACACACACAACAACAACAAAAAAACTCTAAAGAAAATTCGAATTGTTGGCCATCAAGATGAAGAAACACCAAAACTCGAGACAATAATCTTGACGCTTCTTCTGGATACCCACAAATACGATTCTACCTCCACCATTGTTACCCTCCTAAGATTCCAATGGTCCAGAAGAAATCGCCCCGATTTATCAAATCTGACGGCTGGGGTTAGATCTAGGGTTTGCGCGAGACTCGCTTTAGATTTGTATCAAAGGACTGTGAACAGTTTTTTTTTTTTGTTGTTGGGTCAAGTCAACAATGAACAGATTTTGTTATGAAAGCGAACCAAAAGAAAAAATGAAATAATTTTATTTTATCGGGCCATTTTAGGAAATAATTTTATTTTAGCGCGAAGAACGGATCGGTACAGTCAGCAAGTCACGTGAGTTATGTGACAACTTATTGGGCCCATACTTTCTTTTTTTTTTCGATTTACGGGCCCACTTTTTTATTTGATTCGAGGGTTGAATTAGGGCGTTTGTTTAGGCATTTCAAGTGAAGCGATTCAAACATATTAATTAGGCAATTGGGATAATCATCAACTTCATTATCTACAAAGACTTTGTATACAACATTCGTTACTCTACTCTATTAGTGTGATATTTATAGTCTTATGGTTAATATGGTATAGTTGTCCTCGATAAATTTAAAAATTTTATATATAAGATTTTCGTAATAAACAATGAAATCCAATTACAAACTCACAATACCAAGATTTTACCACATACTTTATATATTAATTAAGGAGACATTAATGTAAAAATTTCTGTGTATTGATTTTGAAAATTTTGAAGAGGTTCTTTCTGAGAGAAAAAAATAGAGAGATCAAAAGTCTGGGAGAATCGGATAGGAATGGAGAAAGTTGAAGGGGCATAGAGTAGTCAACCCAAACTATTATGATTTTATCTATATAAAATTTTTATAATACAGAAACAATGAAATCTAATTACAAACTCGCAATGCCAAGATTTTACCACATAGTAAATAAGTGTTGGACTAGTAATGAATTCTCGGGTCATCCAAAATATGTGTTTGTTTTTAACGTCTAGTTCAATAACCGTTAGCGAGGGAAACAACTGTTTTCTAACGTACAACATAAAAATTATGAATTTGAGTCATAACTATTCAACTAACAATAAACGGTATATAACTTTTCGATCAAACATAAACAAAAAAATATTTCACCACATACTAAAATGTAGATCTCATTAGGATTTAAGATCAATACATCACAAATGAAGATATGATACTGAATCTAGAACATCTTTTAATGTAAAGGGGACCAGAGTGTATGCGTTCCACCATGGGACGACAAATTAATCCAAACACAAAAGATATGATAGTGAATCTATAAAATCTCAGAACAAGAAGGACTAGATTGCAAAAACCATTTCTCTCCGTGAATAGATTCCACCATGGGATCAAAATCGAAATAGCTTTTGATGACAGCTCATCTGTGTGATGTGAAAGACACGACGGAGCTAGCACAGAAATACCAAATCGAGAAAAGTCTTTTTTTTCTTCTACTTGTTGCAGCAACAGTGGCGTAACTCCGGCGAGATTTGATTCATGTCTTCCACCTTTAGCCCTGGTCAGAGCCCCGGAAGCTCTCGGTTGCTGCAGCTAGGTGTTGCCGGCTCTGCGTCACGGCTTAGATCTTCTTCCTCTAAAAAACCTCCTGAGCCGCTTCGTCGTGCCGTGGCGGATTGTCTCTCATCCTCTCCTCCTCCGGCTAACTCGCACCATGGCGCGATCCCTTCCATGGCTCCGTCTGAAGCTCTTAGGAATCTCCGGGTGTGTACCTCCCATGCTTTATTTTCCTTCTTGTGAAATGGGTTTCTCTCTCTCGTCTATGTGTTTCCATTTTTGCGTTTAGTTTGGGGGTTAATAGATCTTGTTTATGATGCGTAAGGAGAGGGATTGAGTATCTAGGGCTTTCGTTTTTGGTTTTCCATTGATATGGAGCTTAAACGAATAGTAAACAATATAGCAGTCGCTTTTCTTTGACTAGTGTTGGCATTGAAATTGATTCTTAGAGCTGAGAATGTTCTATTCTCTTGTTCTTTCTCTCTATTCTGAACATTACTCCTATTGTTTCTGAAGCTACTGAATTTGATGCCAAAATATGGATGAAGAATTTTTGTAAAGGGATATGTAACTGCTTATAATGTTATGCGTCTATGGAAATTGCATGATCTCACATAATCTCCTGGTGATTACAGGATTATTTATCAGTCTCTGCCACGACTGACCTGGCCTACAACATGCTGTTAGAGCATACTATAGCAGAGAGAGATCGCAGGTAATTCTCTTTTCACTCATATTACATTTGGTCTTTCAATAACTTTCTCAAGTCATGTTAGTGAAACTGTGATATAACGGTTTAGCTTCAGAATTCAGTGAATTAAAATGTCTTCGAATCTAGAAGGCCTGAACGGATAGACATATTTGAGTGAAGAACTTAAGGGGAATGAGCTCATTGTAGCTTGATCCCAGAGGAAAATAAAGCATGTGAGTGAGAGTTTCTTATAATTCTGCATGAACACATTATCTAGATTTGTAAGTATCTTGGTAGCTTATCTATAAAGAATACTCAGGCATTTTAGAAGAGATGATGACCTTAACAGATGTCGCAGATAAAAGTGTGGGTAAGGAGTTTTAGAAGTAGGTGAGCAGAGTCGGAAAAGTCTCTGGATAGATATATTCTAAAGTACTCGAGGACTCATTGATACATGGACCTATTGTTGAATAGAACCTCATATAGCTAGGATGCAGATTACTATAATCTAATATTTCTCAAGTATCATGGTTTAAACTATTAGTTGCTGCTAATGTTCAATCAATTTTCTGCAGTCCAGCTGTGGTGACGAGGTGCGTTGCATTACTGAAACGGTATCTCTTAAGGTAATATAGTCTACTCGAATGTTGTAACTTGATTATTTTCATTTGCTTCTTTGAACTAGTATATCTTCATTTATCAAAGTCCCTAACTCATCCTTCTCACTATTACAATTATTGTGCTCTGTCTATGGCGATTGGTACGTTTGGTTAGTTATTTGGTAGATCATTTAAATATGAAGGGGACATAATGGATGTTCAAACCTAGAGATTAAGTGTGCATTTTTTTGCTTTATTATGGGGGTTATCTGTAAAATGTATACAGGCGTCCATTGTTGTCCATGGATTATATTTTTACATTATAATGATCCCTAGGTGTTCCTACACTACAGATATAAGCCTGGTGAGGAGACACTACTGCAAGTCGATAGATTTTGCGTGAACCTGATTGCTGAGTGCGATGCTAGCTTGAAGCAAAAATCATTACCTGTTTTATCAGCACCAGCGGGTGCTTCTCCTTTACCAGTCTCCAGTTTTGCTTCTGTAGCTTTGGTGAAGTCATTGCATTATGTGCGTTCCCTTGTGGCTCTACATATCCCAAGGCGATCCTTCCAACCTGCAGCATTTGCGGGAGCTACGCTTGCGTCAAGACAATTATTGCCATCTCTTTCCTCTTTGTTGAGCAGATCATTCAATTCCCAGTTAAGTCCTGCAAATGCCGCAGAATCTCCACAGAAAAAGGATGCTGCAAATCTGTCTGTTTCAAACTTGTCAAATATACAAGAATTTAATGCTATGGAAGACATTGAATACATATCATCAGACTTGCTGAATTGGCGTTGGGTTGGGGAGCACCAGCTATCATCAGCTTCTTCTGAAAGGTACACCGTACTTAATTTCTGTTCTCACAAATGGTAAAACACACCTTTGCTTCTTTTCTGGACGATACATCCTTGTATCTTAGTAGAGAAACACTCAATGCATTAATATCGTAAGCAACTTCTTCATTGCATGACTATAGTACTTGACTATCACTGAATGTATTATAATCTGCATGGTTAGTGAACGCCCTGTGAATCTCCAAGACATGAACAATTGTAATCTTCTGGAAGTTGGTGCTGCCGGCCTGCTTGTAGGAGACATGGAAGCTAAAATGAAGGGCCAGCACTGGAAATATTTTGGTACCACAGAGATGCCTTACTTAGAGCAACTGCTGCAGCCAGCTTCAGTCACAATGATAACAAACTCAGTCTCAGCTCGCTCCCACTTGAGGGCAATAACAGCTTCCAAACGCACCAGAGCTGGCCCTCAGCAGATCTGGTATGTTCTATTGTGGTTCTAAAGTAATTTGCAAAGTGATGACTTGAGATTATACTTCCCGTTTATGCCTTTCAAGGTTTCACATGTCTCTCTTTTTAGCCATTCAGAAACTGGACTCCTAGATTTCAATAAGTGATTATAATTCTTTCCTCTAGAACATATGCTATCTGTTAATTGTGATAAAGCAGTTTGAAGCAAAACATATGGATTTTATTTTTTAATTATGAACAAATAATGAAATGGCACTTGTTCTGAGTGACTTGGCGAATATAGCATCCTGTTCTATTTTCAATAGATATCTTTTCAGGAATTGCACTTCTGCATGATGGGACCTAAATAGGATGATGTTTTGGGAAAATATCTATATTAAACCGTAAAACTCTGCTTTGAAAGTTAGTGTGTGCTCTTAGATTGAGGATTTACATGATCTGCAGGGACGATTCCACTGTGAGCACATTTCGTCCGCGTGCCAGACCACTTTTTCAGTACCGTCATTACAGGTAATGGGATTTCTGTATGATCTTTGGGTTTTTATTTCTTCATTTACTTTAATGCTATTCATATATTCTTTACTGAAGTCTTCCTTGATAGCATTAATGTTAACAAGGTTTTGCTTAATGTCTCGTAATAAGGTTGCCGTTTGAACCTTTACGATAATGCCTGATACTAGCCTCTCTAAGAATTGAATCCATAAGCTAACTGACGAAGCTGCAATTGAATAAACTCTTTACGATTCATATACCTTATTCCACTGTGACTTATGGGTAGTTTCAGAGTGGCTCTTCCACTATT